TTTGAATTAAAAAAAAAAGGTGGGGGTGGTTTAGGGGGGGGGGGGGTGGCAGGATTAGAGGGGATTTCCATAAGATATTTTACCCTTAAATTATCTAGAAGTCTATCTTTGAATTTAATAAAAATAGTAGTGGTAGGATTAGGGGGGGGGGGGGGGGGGGGGGGTGGTGGGGATGTACAAGGATAAAGTCGATCAAATATATTGTGGGTACAGTTGTATCAAAAGCCACTTAATTGAGGGTTTTGATGACTGAGATAGTGGAGGCCAGACAAGGCAACGAATACTTCAAAAAAGTTCCACCAATCAGAATCAAACTTTTTCTAGAACATGAATAAATTGTGTAAATATCATAAGGACAAAGAGCATGGCATGAAAGAGTGCAGACACCTCTAGAGCTTGGTTGAAGAATTGATTCGGGCCAAAGGCGTTAACCCAGTCAGTAAAAAGCCCTAGTGGAAGAAAATTCTAATGAGCTCGTCGGAGCCAATGCTATCCACATCACAAGGATGGTGTTAGCCATCCCTAAAAGAAACTCAATTCGACGAACAAACCATAAGAAACTCTAGACGTTAGAACTTTGAATCATTATTTTCTCTACAAAGCAGAAGCCTCATCCTTCGATTATTTTTATAAATACGGACTTTCACTCAAAGGGAAATCCAAACAAAAATATTGTCATGGTCACGATAATGATAAACAGTTACAAAGTGGGTAGTATTTAGGATGACATTAGCAGTTTAGGGAATATCTTGTTCAAGTCAAACTTCGACAAGATGCGTCATCAGCCAACCAGGTGGTGGTGCAGAATGACTCACTCTATGGTTTTTTGGGTGAACGAAAGGAAGGCTTGGGGCTAATAGGGCTATGCATCACCTAGGGGGAAGGCGACAACTAGTTTACAAACATTGGAGATGTTTTGGTGTTTGACGTATCGCCCACTTATAATTCCATCTTTGGTCACCCACTGCTTAAAGACTTCAGAGCCGTGATTTCCACATACCACATCACAATAAAGTTTCTATAAATCAATATCGTGTTAGGAAGCTTGTAGCAGCCGCCCGGGACATGTGATACACCTAAAAATATAGTATTTATGTACACATTTGCATACCTATTTTTGAGATATTGTAATTTAATGAAAGGTATTTATGTGTTTTTTCTTTCAGATACAATCAAATGGATGAAAAATGTTGAAAGGAGTTAAAAATGATCAAATTTGGAACAAAAAATGAAGAAAGTGTGCAAAAGAACTGTGGCACCTAAGCGCCCAGAACTGGCACTTAAGCATCAGTTAAACCGAGAAGGACACGCCTAAGCACCAAGTAACTCGTACTTAAGCGCTAGAAGTAGTTACTTGATGATTCAATGAATTTGGACGAATTTTTGAAGAGGTGTTTTAATCAACCCTTGGTGAAAACGTGGGAAATATTTAATTGAAAAGAAAATACATTTAATTGGCTTTTGAAAGGAGGCAACTCTTGGAAGATTTATTGAATGGGGACACATTTTGAGTTGACACCAAGAAACCTTTTGAAAAATTATAAAAGAAGGACTTTAATTGGATTGAAGAATCTTCCACTCTTCCACACACACACAAGCCGCTGCCCCCTCTATACACCGCCGACACCTCTCTCTCTTGGATTAATTAGGATACTTTTAGAGATAATAAGAAGCGAGGAGTTGTAGTGTCTGATTTAAGAGTATTGTAAGAGAAAGGAAGAGAAGAGATTCAAAGGAACTTCAAGAGTTTGGTGGAGAGGATTTGAGATAAGTTTTTATCTTCATGACTATATTTGGTTTTAATTTAGAATTCTTGTTTGTTTCCATGATTTATACTTTCAAACGTAAGTGTGGTTGTGTTTTCTCCATGAATTCTGAGTAGTTTTATTTATCCTTTTTCTTAAAGTGATAAGTGATTAAGTATTGGATGGAAGTTGTGTGAAATATTAATCTTTAATGTTAGAATAAATTGTGATGATTTTAAACCTTGTACTTCATTTACTTCTTGATTTGACCAATTTAGAAGTTAATATTTGTTGTGAGAACATGTAAGATCCGAGAAGGTATTGTCTCAGTCAACTAAAGATAAGAGTCACATGAAATTATATGGATGAGAATGTAATTCATATGATTGAGTGAAAATAAATAGAGAAATAAACTTTGAAGGGTGTAGAATTAAAGGGCTTTAGAGTGACAAGCTAAAGCTAAAGTTCAATTTGATTTATAGTTTTAGGTTTTGATACAAGAAGTTAGCCCACAAGTGGAGGGAGAAGAAGGAACTATAGAGTGAGAGCTAGTATTTTCTCTGCCTAGTCGGTCTTCAAGACTATTGAGAGTATTCAAATTTTAAATTAGCCAATGTTCTTTATAACATCTCTAGTAAGGGTAAAGAATATTATTGCTCCTATTTGACACAATACAATTTGAATATTTCCACAAAAGAATTCCTATACTTGTTACTAATTTATGATAAGAAAAAAAATATTTTATTTATATTGCCTTCATCTTACAAATATCTAGTTAAGTTTAGTTAGTTATTTATTTTACATTCAATCATAAAAAATTACAAAATTAATCGAACTTTCATTCCTACTATAGTATTTATAGTTTGAGTAAGAATGTTTTGCAAAGTAAAATTTGTTATCTAATTTTTCTGATTTTAGATGCATATTGTATTTTTTCCCTGTAGGTACGATATTCGAGGTTTAATAAAAAAGTCTTATATTACTTGATAATGATATGTATACTTGCATAGTATCCCATATTTAAATATAATAATTGCATTCTTATTTTCTTTAAAGTCAATTTTTCGGCAGTCATTGCGAAGTAAGTAAGTAAGGAAAAATTAAGATTATAACTGCATACGTCATATTGTCATATAAAATTGGGAATGGGTTTTTGGCGTCGTTGTCGGGGAAAAATAAATTTT